GGGGGGTTGTAATAGAAATATGAGATTCTAAAGTTTTTCTGTTGAACTGCACCACTTTAGCTGGCTGATCAAAGGCGAGCATCGGTGTCAGTCGAGCAACGAACACGAGTTCGATTTTCGTTTACAGAAGTTAATTTCATGAAATATCTGCGTGTACGTGTTTCTGACAGGATTATATTATATTATGTCACGACGACGCGGTTGAATCAGGCGCTCGTCAATTTTTGGGCATGTAGAGTTATTGTTATCATCTTAAAGGTTATTCGTTTGTCTTGTTATCGATGAACAAATGCTCATCTATCTAAAATAGAAGTCTTGATATTTGCGATTGAAGGAGGTTAATTGGAGTCGCCTGGTTTCTAATGTAAAATTAGTGAGAAAATGGCGGCCAAAGTTGGTGACTTCAAAGCATGTCGAGAGTCCTTGGATATTGCAAATTTACTTTTGTGTTCCTTTAGTCTACGTTTTTACCGTAGATCTAAACAGAAACGTGTAAAACTCTTACTGTAAAACTAAAAATAAGAAACGTGTTTTTAAAAGGACATAAAAGGTGTCGATCCAAGAAACAAAAATTCGATAAGATTATGAAACTAGCAGAAAAAATCCGGTTTCTTCGATTTCATTATTATGCCGAGTGCCTGTTTTCACCACGACGCCTCACATGTTATAAATATTCCACTCCGTCCGGGTTGCACGTCAAAGCCTGTCGCTACCTTAATGATCTAACTCGTGTTAAAGGAAGCGTAAAAAACGTTTGAAGATCAATGAAAACACAGCAAAAGTGCATTGCATAGAACAAGTTTTCAGGGGGTTTCCCCAGGGAGACTGGGAATGTCCTCTTACTGTTCATACCTGCGTATGTGGTGTAGCGGTTAGGGGCTTCGCTGTCGCACGCAGGAGACCCGAATTCGATTCCCGTGTGTGTGGGGGGGGGGGGCGATTTTTATTGAGTATCTCGAACAAAAAAGAAAAAGCGGTTGTCTTAGACAGGTGTCCGCCTTACACAGTTTCATGACAATCTATACAAAATTGTGTAATGTATTCTTTTAATAAATTTGGAAGGGGGGTGGCTTTTTGCACAGGTGATTGTTTTATAAGCTTTACAGGTAGCCGTCAGAGCAAGTGCGGGTGTGTACTTGTTGGTTAGACGTCTGTGTGTGGGTGGGTGGCGGGTGCTCTCGTGTGGTTTGCTTCTTCTTTCCTATCAAACATCTATCGTCCTTATCTCTCCTTCCTCTTTTTTA